TCCTTTCTTTGTATTCCACTTGATCTTTCCTACTGAAGCTACAAAGATATTTTGTGGCCCATTATAAAATAAAATCTCTTCCTATAGTAACTCAAGCCTCATCCTCTTTTCAGGATACAATTCCTATGAGATTCACCTTGTCATTACTTTTACAATCGCTTATCAGCCTTTTGGCTAAGATCAAGTGTCATTACATTTACATTTTGACTATCCTTGGCACACCTGTAATCCCAGTACTGGGGAGTCTGAGGCAGAAGGATCCTTGAGAGCTCAAGGCCAGCCTGAAACTGCATAGTAAGACCCTGTTTCAAAAAGACAAGAAGCAAAAACATTTTGACTGTCTTACTTAGTCTGGTTTACCAACTGCATTCTGGTTTTTGCCCTCACCATTCTGGAAAACCCACTCAGCAAAATTTCTTCTTGTTCCAGGTCCCATGACTTCCCTTTGACTTTCTTCTTTGACCTGGCTATAGTTGTTGACTGTGTTGCTGTTTTGTTCTAGATGAGCTCAGAGGCAAGGCTTATAGAAGGTGGACTATGGGGGAAGTAGGGTACAAGATCTGGCCCGAAGGGGTGGCTCCCTGGGGCCTGACCTGTGAGGGTGTGTCACACTCCCCATTTCCTCTCTTCACTGTGGTTCCCCACCACCCCAGGGTGAACAGATTTCCTCTGTGGGCCCTCCCCTGTGGTCTTTGAGGTTTAGGACTAAAACCTAAATAAACTCTGTATTTTAAATTACAGGTGCTGGGTGTTGTGTTATAGCAGCAAGAAAGTGATTTAAGGATTTAGTACAGGGTCTCACTACACAGATCAGACTCATACTGATCCTCCAGTTTTCAGCCTCCGAAGTGCTGGGATTACAGGAGTGTGCCACCACACGCAGTCTCAATAACTGTCTCATCACACCCTTGGGGCGGGGCTAGCACGGCATGCTGCAGATGGAACCCCGGCCACTGCACTCCGCCTAAGCAGGCACTTTAGTCCACTAAGCTCTCTGGCCAGCCCTAAGAAAGACGTTTAAGAAGTTGCTTTTCTCCTTTTGAAAAGCTATGTTATCTGTAGCATTAGGTTTCACTTGTTTACTCAGTAGTAGTAGCTGTAAAAATAGCAATTTTATTAAGCAGTTACCTGTGTGCTAGAAATTATATAAAATTGCTGCTACCATCATGATTATCATCTTCATTATTATTATTATTATTGTTATACACTTCTCCACTTAATACCATTAGGGAAGTTACTTTTGTAAGCCTGTTTTCTCATCTGTATAATGGATGAGATGTGATTGTTTGAGACTTAATTACATAACATGGACAAGGTAATGCAGATATGAGCTATCATTAATTATTCCATTTTATAAGTGAAGCTGAGAAAGTTAAGTAATTTGCACAAAATCAGGTGACAGGTGTAGCTCTTAATAAAATCAAAGAAGTCAGAGCCCTAGGCTGCTCTTAACCATCACACTGTTGGCTCTTTTTTACTATTTCTGTGGCTTTTCTTCTTAGCATCTAAATACATTAATTCTCTAAAAAGCTATCTTTTAGCTCAACAGTCTAAGCACCTGCCTGGCAAGCATAGGGACCTAGGTTCAACCCTGGTACTGGCACCCTGTGGTGGCCCTGGAACCGGGGCCCACTGTGTCAGCCACAGAAACCAGGTGTGGTGGTGCATGCCTGTAATACCAGCACTGGGGCGACTAAGACAGGAGGATCATTATGAGTCCAGGCTGCATAGTGAGATCTCTACAGAGAGAGGGAGAGAGGGAGAG